CGCTTACAATTATTATTTACGGTGCGTCCTTGCTGTGCAAACTTGCGGTGGATACTTCTGGTGCGCACTTACGGTGCGCACTTGCGGTGCAGGCGTATGGTGCACACTTACGATTAGCACGTACGGTGTATATTTACGGCGAGCTTGCACTGCTTCTAGTCAAGGTTGTGTTCAACGATAACCTGTTACGGTTCAGATTTGCGGTTCAGCCGCATCCGTGCCCCCTGATGGAAGCGTGGAAGAGTGCCAAAGGTCCGCCCCCGTCCCTGCCCACGGACTCCTGCGCGCACCGACCCTCCTCTCCGAGGCCACTTCGCCCGTGCCCGCCTGCAAATGGTGAATTCCCGGCATGGCAGCTAAATGCCGGAACCCCCCTTGTTACATGCGTGTGCGCTAGAGGACTGTGCACTTCCCGCATGGCAGTTCATGCCTGACCCCACCTTCCACGTGTGCCCGCCCGAGGATGGTGCAGTTCCCGCATGGTGGCTAGTGCCTGAACCCTCACTCCATGCGCGCCCGCTCGAGCACTGTGCACTTCCCGCATGGCTGCTAACTCCTGGGCACCTCATGCCACACGCGACTGCTCGAGGATCGTGCACATCCCGCATTTCAGGCGCTGCTCGCAAGCGCTCCAAGGCCTCCCAAAGCCACGATCCTTCAGTAAAAGCCATGGAAGACGGACCGTGCAGGCAACCAAGGACACCAAGATGGCCTAAGATGCCTCGAAGAACACCTCAGATGGGCCCAAGGTGACCGAATACTGCTTCAAAGCGGCCCGAGATGCCTCCAACAGGGCCCGACATGGCCACAAGAGGACCTCCAACAGGGTCCGAAGAAGCTAAACTTGTTGATTTGGTGCCCCCTGGACTTCGAATGATTGACGCATTCTCGCCTTTTCGGGCTGTCGTCAGCACAAGACGGCCCAAGACGACACCACGATGGCCCAAGAGGCATCCAAGATGACCCCAAGACTACCCAAGAGGGCCCCCCGTGGGACCCAAGACGGCCCTTCGACGGCCCAAGACGGCACCAAGACGGCCCCACGACTGCCCCCCAGGCACCAACAATACGGCAAAGAGGGCCCCAAGACGGCCCAAGAGAGCCCCAAGCCTGCGCAAGACGGCCCCAAGAGGGCCCCAAGAGATCCCCAAGACTATCTCACAGGAGCCCAGGACAGCCACAAGAAGGCTCAAACAAGGTTCATCACCATAAGCATCACCATCATCAAAGTTATCAGAATCGTCATCGGCGTCGTCGTCATCGTCAGCATCATCCACCTCCTCCTCCTTCTCATTATCATCATCACAATTACCGTCGTCACCCCCTCGTCTTCAAAATCCCCTATCATGCTCATCACTGCTCTCCCAAGACTGGAGACACGAGGTGTCACACGTGACGGCCTCCCATGCCCCCACGAACAGTCGCCAATGCTGGGCTGGCACGGTGGCGGGATTTGCCGCAGAAAGTTGGGAGTTTATTTGCGCTTCGCATGTACGCTTGACATGTACGGCGCAGTCTAACGATTTGTATTTACGGTGCGTACGTACGGTGAAATTACGGTGTATGCGTACGTGCGGTATGCATGCGGACGCTGCGTACCTACGGTCAAGCATTCCGTTGCGCACTTACGGTTAATATCGGCGGTGCGTGCTTACGGTCAATACTGACGGTGCGCACGTGCGGCGCGACTTACGGTGCGTACTTACTGTGCGCACTCGCGGTGAATACTTCCTTTGCAGACTTACGGTATGTACTTGCGGTGCAACATGCGGTTCCCATGTACCGTCATGCTTAAGTATTGCGGTTCCCTCGTGCGGCGCACTGCCACTGACCATTTTTACAATTAGGAATCATCACGGTGAACATATGCAGTTGCTAAGTACGGTCAAGATTCAGGGTTGGTATTTACGGTGCATGATTTCGGCTAGTATCGACGATGAACAATTACGGTGTGCATACTTAGGGCGCATGCTCACAATACACGACTACGGCGTATACATACGGCTGATATGTACGCTGCGTACGTACGGCTTGCTCTGACGATGCGCACATACGGTTAATATGTACAGTGCGCACTTACGGTGCATACTGGCGGTGCGCACTTACGGCGCATATCTACAACTGAAATGTACGAGTATTGTTTTTTGTAACCGAAAACCTATGGATGTTGCTTGGTCTCATTGTTACGATTGGCATCTACGGTCGATACGTACGGTGAATATTGTGCCGGCAAGAGTGCGACGCAGACATCCGGATGATATCTACGATCGGCAACTATGACGAATATTTACGGTGCGTTGCCACAGTCTGTACTTATAGTCAGTAATTACATACGGCGGACACTTGTGGTGCACACTTACCGTGCGCTGTTACAATGTAGACGTGCGGTGTGTTAACTGGTACGGCAGATATTTACTGAGAATGCGTTCTGATAACAATTGCGGTTACTTTGTACGGCTTACGTGTACGGTAACATGTAACTGTTAACACGCACGTTCAATAGTTGATGCTGACAGCTACGGGAAGTATATTTGGTTGATATTTACGGCTCGCATTTGCCATCCATAATTACGCGTGATGTTTGCAGCTCGTATTTCCGGCTCAGATCTAAGTGTGTACTGTGCACTTCGTACTTCGACACCCGTACGCGTATTACTGTGTGCCTACAAATGTTCTGCTCTGCGATTACAGCTTGCCGTACCGAGCATCAGATCGGACGAAAGGGGGGGAGATAGCAAGGAGGGAGGATTAGAGAATCAGCTCACGTAGCGAAGAGGAGGGGTTAGAGAATCAGCTCACGTATAGCTGGTTCCCCTGACGCCTCCTGGCTCCAGAGGCGGCCATTGCGTCGAGCAGCAAAAAGCCCCGCGGCGGGCCCGAGACCATCCGCATGCAGCAGATGTCGCCACCCCCGTCCGCCCTTTCCCTCCTCCCCCCCCCCTTTCGCCCGACTCCCGAGGAGGTCTAGGATCGAGAGGTTCTCGATCGAGGATCGAAGTTAGAGGATCGTTACGTAGGTGCTTGTGCGCTGTCACCCTCTGGGGCTCCCCTGCCCAGGCGTCGGGCGAAGAGAGCGCACACACCGCGCTTGCTGCTGCCCGTGGCGCTCGGGATCTGGGGGGCCGCTCCCGGCAGGATCGGCAGGCGTCCACATGATGGCCCGAGGGCACCCGGCCCGAGGAGGGGCTCGGCGGGGCCCGGCGCCAGGCGGGTCCGGAAGAAGAACCCGTCGGTGTGGGAGCCGCAGCAGAGGAGCAGCAAGAGACGGTGCGGGAGAGGTGCAGGCTGAGAGCAGGGGGGGGGGGGGAGGCGGACCACCTAGGCCATCCCTCCTCCCGTTCCTCCTCCCTCCCTCCCTCCCTCCCCCTCGCCCTTCCCAATTCCCCTGCGCCCCGTCCCGTCCCGCCCACCCCTCCTTCATGTTCCAACTCCTCCTCCCCCATCCTCCCTGTTGCGCCTGCTCCTCCTTCCCCGCTCCCCATTTTCCACCCCTCCCCCTCCTCGAGTCAACGTCGTCGTCGCCGCCGTTACAGCGGAAGCCGCCGCCGCCGTCGTTCTCGTCGGCATCCTCGCGTTCGTACTCGTTCTGTCTGCCGTCGTCGTCCTCGTCGAAGTCCTCATCGTCGACGCGATCGAGGCCGAGATCGACGACGAGGTCGTTGTCGTCGTCGGCCGACAAAGTTGCACTCAGAGGCTGTCCTTGAACCCTCCCGGGGTCCATTCTGACTGGTCTGACGGGCTGCGTCCAAACGCGGGTCGAGAGCCTCCAGAAACGCCAGGGAACCTCCGACACGACGACCGCGTTGTCGTCGACGACAACCGATGTCGTCTGGAGGTCTTGGGTCTAGGAGGTCCCCCGAAGCCTCCGGAGGCCCCCTGAACGGGAGACGATAAAAACCCGCACGAACCTCGATCTTGGTTCTTCGGTCGTTCGACAACGACGATGACGACGACGACGACGAGCACGACGACGAGCACGACGACGACGACGACGAACAAACGTCCTCGTCGACCGAGATTGTTTTAATTATTTCCCGCAGTGGTCGTTACCCAGGGGGGGGGTGGGGGGGGGAAA